AAAAGTCGCCAAAGGTACAGCTCACGGGTCGAAAACGCAGTGATGCGTTTCAGACCGGTTGCCGCGAGGCCACCACGTTAAGCCTGTGTCATCCCCCCCCCCCCTCCATCCACCTTCCGTACGCCCACGCCTACGCCCCCTCCACCCACACCACACCCAAAAAGAACCCGTCTCGCCTCCTCACCATTTTCCCTCCCCCGGTCACGTTGTACATACCACGTGTGATTGAATGCAGATGGCCAGATTACTTAATTGCCCTGGGGACGTGTTGCGCCCCGCCAGGGCGCTGCTCTGCACGCTCTTCACGAGTCAGCCCCGCTGTGCCCCGCTGCTATTACGCCATCGGCGAGGCACACACAATCAGGCTTGTCATTAACAATGCACGCCGCCAGGGGTGCTGCCTGCCGAGGCCCCTCGAGGAAGGGGATGTTGCGAGGAGGTAGCGGGTGCCATGCTGCGAATATGCACGTGATTCCTCTACTCCGGGAAGTACAGTCACCGGGCTATCGCCTAGAGGCTATTGCCTCGACGAGTCTACGTGAACCTTAAAATCGGACGTCTGTGTCATAATCTAACGGGGGTCATCACTCGTATAATGGCCGGTTCTTGGCACCTTTTGGGCAATATCATGAGCTGTGCCAGTCCTTTCTTCACTGGGTGAAATTGTTATGCATGCGAGGAGATGCGCGAATACTTAAGCGAACGTCATTTGCTCCCTGTCACTTTACTCCATTTCAAGTGCTGCGTTTATTTTCATAGCGCGACCCATGCCTATGGTTTCAGGTAGGGTGAAGAAGCAGGTGTTATGAGGTGACAGAACTTCGATATATATTTTTCATTACTAAGCCGACATAGCATAAATGGCCCAGTTTCATAGCAAAACTCTGCATCATATGTATGCGATAGAAATTCCCAATGAATAAAACTTCACATTATCTGTAGGAATGGCACCCACCCTCTTCTTCAGCGTTACTCCGAAAAGAAAATAACAAAAACAAAAGTTAGGCGTTTCATGCGGAACTCAAAAGCATGATAAAAACTTGAAAAGTATGCTCAAAGAATGTTGGAAGAAATCTGCTATATAATGCCAAGATTACATCGGCACAATTCAGTTGTCTTTACCAAGAAACTGGGTGATTCGCCTCCGAGGTGCCTTCTTAGTAATAAAGAACTTTAGCGCAGTCATTTTTGCCCCATGATGCGTGCATAAAGCGCTAGAATAAAACTTCATCGGAGCCTTACATCTTGAGCTGTCGTGTTATATTCTTGTTTAGCCATCACCGCTGATTGTGGTGGTGCAATGACCTAAAAATAAGCTAATTGGGGTGTTTATTATCTGTTTGTAATTATAAACGCGGAGTTTGCGTTTTGATAATTTCTAAATTAATTTCGCAGAGTACATCCACTGTCAGTGTTGCTATTATTACTTTTACTTCTCTGAAGCCAATATTCAAAAATAAATTTGTAGCGTTAAGTGTGCCTTTGTTTTAGTACAGAAACTGGCGGGCTGCTGGCGTCATCACAGTGCTTGTAGCGGCGCAAAAATGTCTTTTTCAAGTTCAAAGGCATCGGAATCTGCCGTATGACAAAATTTAGTATACACCACTCTGCACACCAGGGCAGGCAAAGATTTTACCTTCACTCGTCCGTTGCCAAAACTACAACAAAATCAATACGAATCTTTCGTTAACAAATTTTGCTACTATAAGAAAAATCTTGTTGTGGTTGGAAGTCCAGACCCGGGACATCGACCTTTCATGGAATGTTTTCGTGCAAACACGCTTTCGTGGAACTGAACTGTCATGGTGCCTCAGCATAACGTATCTCTGGCACGAAAAAAAGAAAGAGTAAAAGTGATTGTTACGCATAAAAAATGACGCATCCCACCTATGCCTCGTATATAATTTGAGTCACTCTCACCTCTAACAGAGACAGCATCATCGTACCCGTTGTGTTGTCAAAACGACTCGTATTTATGAGACATCCACCACTCTTGCCCTGTTTTTTTTTTTGTCACAAAGATTTTCATTGTGGTACGCTCTTTACCCCATATTTGAACTTGAGTTGTAATCTAAAATCCAAGAGCATGATCTGCTGATATCTATGCTTAAAGATTATTTTATTTACACTAAGTGGTCACAATTCGTACAGAATGTAGACTGAAAAGGAGAGAGAGAGAGAAAATCTGGGTGTACCATTTAACCGTTTTATTGAAACATCTCATTTCCCGCGATGTGTATAAAATGTTGCGCGCGACGAATATATCTTCAGCGGGTTATGAGAGCCACTTCATTACTTCCAATCGGTAATTCTTCTCTTCTCCATAAAATGAACCACGCGTATGACAGGGGAGTTCGACGCGGCACCGATCCCCATGGTACACTGCACACCACTTCGCGTTCCTGGCGGCCGAGTCTGCGTGACGGCGCGTTTTGCTCCTTACGCTGAACGGACTCCCTGCTGCAGTACAGGCTCGCGGCCGAGCCCCCTCCAGGGTTCACTGTCGATAGCTATTCACCGAAACTGGGCCCATTCATCTTGCGCGCGATCCCGCCGTCAGGAAGAACCCCCGAGGAGGGAGTCCTCACCCTGGGGGTCGCTGGCGTAGCCACGGCAGCCCCCACGAAAAATTACTCGCTGATTTAGTCATTGAAAGCAAGAGGGGGCCCGCCACACAAAAGCGCAACGGAAGAAAAACAGGAGCAGCGGCGGGATCAACATATTGAATGTGTTACGCGATGGGTTCGCTGCGACGTGACACGTCGTCCCCCACCTCCACCACTGGCGCGCGGAGGCGGGTAAGCGGGGTCCCCACCCCGCCTGCCTCATGAGGCCCACTGATCGCGGCAATCGTCGCTCCAATTGCTCTTTTACATGCCGCAGGGCGGGAGACGGCTGAGAGCGGGCCGAGCAGTAGCGCTTGTCTTTTATCGCGTTAATCTTTTCGAACGGAAGCGTGGAGGTGTTCTGCGCATATGCCGACAAAGTGGCGACAGTGATCACCGGAATAATTTCACTTCCACCTCCGGAACGCGGGAGACCGCCCTTTATTTATTGCACGCATGCACACCGGCGAAGATGTCTCGGTGACCCTTAAGAACGATGGGATCACTTGAATGACGTGGTGTTTTCTGATTGTCCCCATTACCGCTGCACTTGCCGGTCTGCAATGCGTTTTTTTTTCAATCTTTTCACTCATATTTGCGTGAAATTCCTACATGACGCGTGCCCGAAACGTATACCTGCCGCTTTCCTACTTTAGCCTCGTTTCTGTCTGTTCTCCTTTTTTCGTAAACACTTCAGTTCACAACGTTCATTTTCGTTTGAAAACTTCAACAATTGCTTCAATGCTTCCCATTCACTTACAGGCGAACTCTTTTGGGCTAATCCTGAGAGCGATGCTCAACAGCTCACGTGAGCTGAAGGAATGGTTCCTTTTCTAAGCGGATGTTTTAAATTACTTTAGGGTAAATCATACAAGAACAATGGAGTTAATAAATATTTTGATTCGCTATGTAATCAATGTTTTTCCTTAATGAAAAGTTGACAAATTTTTCGTGATTTCCAAAAAAAATCAGGCTGTAAGATCATGAAGCAGAGGTTTATTGCAAGTGAGCTTGCTAAAGTGTTTTTATGCTTCTGAAATGCACATAAGGAACCATATGATACATACCGCGTACTGTTTTGCTAAGCTCATAACATTGGTATTTTTGTGCATATTGTTTAGCGTAATAATAGTGCAATTAAAACCACTGGCTTAAACGTACGTAGATTAAGCAAATAATTACCATGAAATGAAGTATTTCAGAAGAAAAAAAATGAATTTCTAATCCCATTAACTCTCGTAACCATGCACAGTGCACTGACCTACTGGAAACCATGCCATGAAAAAGGGTAATTGTTCGGGCTCTTTTTTTTATTCTTTTCTTACGAAGGCCAATAAGTATACACCTTGCGTTTGGTGCATGGTGGAATCCGTCAAAGGATTCCCGTGATGCTATTGGATTTGTTTCGTGTAACTGCATTCGCAAACAAGAGTGTATTCTATAGAGCAGTTCACAACGAAAAACACAGCCAAGGTGTCATACCTGGAGAGAAGTGACGAGAGACTTAAAATTTTGAAAATTCAGTCGCAGTTTCACTACCCAAACAAACGCTTTCCTTTTTTGTGGTTGTTTAAACGAACATGTTAGATGCCTTGCAAGTCTACTACGTATTAGAAATCATCTGGGTAGTGAATTTGTAGATTATTAATCAAGCTGGTGTAACCAATATTGTTGTTTAACCTAAGAAAACGAAGTCGAGTCAATGGGCCTCACTATACTCACGGCAGATACCGAAGCCCATAACAAAGTCACAGTGGCCCCGCTGCGGTGGTCTAGTGGCTAAGGTGCTCAGCTGCTGACCCGCAGGTCACTGGATTGAATCCCGGCTGTGGCGGCTGCATTTTCGATGGAGGTGAAAATGCTGTAGGCCCGTGTGCTCTGATTTGGGTGCACGTTGAAGAACCCTAAGTGGCTATCTATCTATCTATCTATCTATCTATCTATCTATCTATCTATCTATCTATCTATCTATCTATCTATCTATCTATCTATCTATCTATCTATCTATCTATCTATCTATCTATCTATCTATCTATCTATCTATCTATCTATCTATCTATCTATCTATCTATCTATCTATCTATCTATCTATCTATCTATCTATCTATCTATCTATCTATCTATCTATCTATCTAACAAAGTCATGGTGTGACGACTCTGTAAATAGAATCATAGTTCATGATGCCATTAAAATAAAAGGATACTCTCAGGTGTCACCTTGCGCAAAACAGCGAATAACTGAAGGAAGAAATCTACACTTTGACAACCAGCACAAGTTGGATGCCGAAGGTGATGATAAAGCGCACGCTTCTAACGCGGATTTTTCATCACGCCCAATGTGGACGAATACCGCGTACCGTTGCTGAAACACGCCCCTTTTCTTGTCGTTCGCAGGTGAAAAGCCGCACAAGTGCGCCGTGTGCGGCAAGGCGTTCAGCCAGTCCTCGAACCTGATCACCCACAGCCGCAAGCACACGGGCTTCAAGCCGTTCGCTTGCGATGTGTGCGGCCGGGCCTTCCAGAGGAAAGTGGACCTGCGCAGGCACAAGGAGACACAGCACGCTGACATCCGGCCCATCTAACAACGTCGGAACGACGACGGCGCCCCGCCGCCGCTAAGCGCCGCCTGCTGCTCCTAGCGCTGCTGCCACCACGACGCGCTGCCTGTGTGTACACCGTGCGGCTCCAGCTCGAGACGCAATATAACTGTGCCGTTGGGGCAGCCTATATTGAATCGAGAAACGGCACGAATCGCTGACAGAGAAAACGGCGCCACTCGGATCAAGAAAACGTCCTTATAGAGTGATAGCAACCGCGGACATCGTGAAGACTCTCTCGGATTGCGAACGCGGTACGACGCGAAGGAAATAAGGGGATGCCATGATATCGCGTCGCTGAACACCCCTGCGTGTCCGTCTCTCTTGCACGAGTTATTTCGCTGCGCGTTCGCGGCGTAGATTTGCTCCGTTTATTCCATCTTGGTATGGCGCATTGTTGCTTTTGTTCTGAAGTGAAGGGATATGTTGCACTGGTAAATCGTGCGTGACGGAGCGAGCGAGATGTCCGTTCAAGGCAAGACGTTGCTCGCAGTGATCGGCAAGGGTAACAGATAAGCGAGAAACTACACCCATTGAGTTATTTCAGCCTGAGCAATTCATTGGCGGATATGTCTACACCGGCGATAAATTTCCAGTTTGGTTTCCTTGTTTCATCTTTTTTACACGCTGTCCGCTTATGTCTGGGCTTCGCCATGATTGTACAGCTGCCTTAGCATTTTTTATATGTTTTGTTTCAGTTTACAACATATCACCGCGTGGTCCACGGGGTGGGTTAATGCTTTATTGCTCATCTGATAAAGTAAAAATGTTCATATTTGTTGAAAATTTACGGAACCACAGTTCATACCTGTGATGTTCGATACCTATATACCGGCTACAAAACAGTGACACGACATCCGACAACAAACAGCGGTGGTGTTTTCTGACCTATCATAATTATATGAGTCCTTCATAACAAGAAACAATGACGGACATATACACCACGCACTTAGACATCTGCCGTGCAAGTTAAACTTGTTAATCCTGTGCACGCAGACGACCATAACCTTAACGATTGAAATAATTCAATGTCGTGAATGAACGCCAGTGCGAGTATGCTTACCGTGTCGATGTTGTGTTTTGCACCGAACTAATGCAAAAATTCATTTGATGAAGTGTACGAAGCATTTAAGAGTGTGTCTGTGAAGGTCATTCAAAACGCACGCTAACTTAAACACCTTGGTTTATTTTACATCCCTAACGGAACATGTAAGTCGTATACTTCACATAGCAGCTCCATAAGCAGATAACACAAACGAAAGAAACAGAACATTGTGAGCGGCACTGCCTTAGAGTTCCTGCAACGATTCTCAGTGACGTCATAGAATGAGAGACAGAAACGAGAGGGAATTTCAAGTTATAAATTTTTGCAGCCTCGACATGCTCCTAGGTATGTGTTTATGCAGTAGGTGTTATGCAACTGAGTTAGTTTCCACGCTAATGAAGTTAAAAAAAGTTCTGTTGCACAAATGTCCTAAAGTATCCACGAAGTCTTGGTGACGTGCGTGAAGCCGGCCACTGCTCATTTTAAAAATTTCAAAAAGGGTAGTTTAGGCTTCAGTTTTTTTGCTTATATTCAGACTACGTCACTACATTTTTGAAAATAGCGGACATTACGTGATGTCACTTCTTAGGAGACGTCAGAGAAGTTACATACCACATGCTACTCGCCACGTCACAGAAAATACAAAATTGTTAATATTATGTATTTTTTGTATGTCTGACTTCTAATCGGTGGTCAAATGACCTCCACTTCAAAGTTCTTTTGACGAAGTTGAGCTTGAAAAATATGGTAATCACTTGTGATGGAAAGAAAATTGATTCACTAGTTAGTGTCAGGTATTTGCAAGTGTCCTTTTTAAAATGTAAAATCAGCTTATAACACTTGCAATATTTGAGCCCAATTTCTCGGAAAGACTACAGTGGACTGAACTTCTGATGCTGATCGTTCAAGAATATTTCAGTAGTACGAATGCTTATTTCTACCAAATATTTCTTGAATTTATAAGGGCGAAAGCCTTTAATGCTTATTGAGAAGGGTGAAAGTTGAAACATTGAAACATATTTACACCATATTCAAACAAAATTAGGTCGGTACAGAGTTGATTAGAAAGTGACATTAGTGAGAGTTGATTCGAGAACACTGGTCTTCACCATGAAGTGCACAGTAAAGTAGCGACAGCAGATGGTTCTCACCTTCAGCCACATCAAAAAAGGACGAGGTCTGTGAGAGTTCCTTTTTTTTTTTCATTTGAATAATAGCGTCTTAAGAATCTATGGTGTTATAGCTGGCCTGCCTCGTAGGATATACCGTGTGAGTGAAGCTTTCTGAACAATGAAGAAATGCAAAAAAAAAAGAACACAACAGCACTAAGTCAATTACGTACAAAGTGTATTTTACGAAGGTAAACCCTCCAGCTGTTGCGTAGCTATTCCTGTAAACCACGTTATCGGTATTCTAGTCATATAAAATGAGCTTGTCACCAAAGATTCTCGGCATCGCCTTAACCTAACGACCTTGTTATTTCCTTGGTGCATTTATTTATAGAGATTGAAAAGGAAGTGAATCGCAGCCAGTACACCCAACTATTGGGCCCTATTGGATAATACTTGGCTGAGAGGAGAAGTTTGACATGTAATAGTTATAGCTCAACATTCAAGATTGTAACGAGGGCAAGTTGTTGGGAGGCTGCCACAAGGTACTTGACAGGGTAATTTAAAATACAAGAAAACACCAAAAGAAAAAAGTGAGTGACATTCGTGTACCTGATTATGTTTCTTTCTATCCCGCTCATACTCTCCCCGCCATCATTAATTTTTCTTTACAGCGAAAGCTGGAATGAGATCAAAACACGGGTCACGCGCGGCACCGTAGTTGTCCGCCGCCACCGCCACAGTTGGTGTCCGCAACCAGTGTCGTTCGAAATAGAAAAAAGAAAGCTCAAATATAAGACACCATAGATATGTGGCGACATAGTGCGATTCGAACCCGGGTCCGCTGCGTGCCAACCCGTATATTCACCGCTGAGCCACGCTGGTGCTTGGGACTCGTTCGCAAACTTGCTTCAGGCGGGCTTGATGTTGGGAAAGGATTCGCGTTAATATGATCAATTAAGCGTTTTAGAACAGCAAAGGAACAACCACACGTCACACGATACGAATTGTGTAACTAGTCAGTCGTCCAATGCTCCAACACATTACAAAAGCTTTTTCTTCATCACCTAATAGCTGTGGCACATAGCCACTTCAGGCGTAAATATTCATTGTCATTAGCCACTGAATGCAACATGAAATTCGCACAAAATTTGTTGCAAGTGGTTAGCGGGCACCATGCTTCTCCGAAGAATGACGAAAGATAGCAAAGTGAATGCTGGCCTACTACACAAAAACTATGATCATTTATGGCATTGTGGGTATCCAACAAGTGTGCTTCTAGTATTTACCCGAAGTCTGTTTAGAAAAGACCCTGAAAGGCCGCTGTTCGTGCTTTTGCTGCGACTGTCTGCGCGTGCCGCGCATGCCTGGCGAATTTTCATTAGATGCTAAAATGCATATAGTGGTTCAGTGTTACGGGCAACATGTAAAAGTTTATTCTTTGTACCGTTGCTGAATCAAGGCTCAAAAAGGCTGCAAAAGTTTGTGACGTCACGGTAATGTGGTCTGAGAACGTGGGGAGAGAGTTGCAGGCAGATCTTTTTTCTCAAATTGAGCTCTTTACAGTAATTTTGTTTAATTGTGCTGCACTAGATGTTTTTTCTTACCTCACTGCTGTCCTTGTTTTTTTTGTTCACGTGCTGGAATATAGGCCTAGTCAGGAAACAGTTACGCCTGTTTCCTTTTGCCTGATCTTGATGACATATAACTGTTTTTGAAACATGCTAAATGAAGAGTATTAAATGATGTGAATGAATGCAGTACACTGTACCCAACTAAGTAATGCTTAACTCGTCCGGTAAGGGTAAGACAGTGTTTTATACTTGTGAACGTGAATTATTAGACATGACAAATGACTTATACATAAAAACTGCAGGCTCTTTTAACCTTCTTTGAAATGACTGAGGTGCTATCTTGAAAGCATATGATGAATAATGGAGATCAATATGCTACTATGAAATCTCACCGAATTCATCAGTGCTTTTGAACACGGTACACCCAGTTTACATTCCACAGTGTTAAAAAATTGTGCTATCTCGTGTATCTAAAAATTGTTGTGTGCTATAGTTTCGTCTATATGCCATGCGTGAAAGGGGAGCTATGACCACGCGTGCGGATAGTCAAAAGTGCAATATCAGTATGATCTCTGAGCCTGGCTCAGCGTCATAACTGGAGTAACACAAACGAAATAGTGCAGAATATTCTAGCGTACAATGAAAATAAAAATAGAGACACTTTAAGGAGTGCCAGATACATATTTCCTCGTGATATACAAGAACTAATTTTGTATGCAGAGCACCAACGTTAAGGAAGCATTAGGAAAAAATTTTATCATTTGTTTTCAGAAGAATCAGCGCAGAAATAACACATATACTAGGCACTTATTCTTAAGGCATTATTAAAGTACAAATTTAATAGATTATATTGTGTTACACAAAATAAATTTTGCCCAATATGTCGCGAAAATGCCGATGTCAGTTAATTTTCTCGCAGCTTGAGGCAGAAGTGAGGCCTTGCTACCATCGAACAAAGCGGATCTTAGAGAATATTGTCACTTGCGAACATCACTGGCGTTAAGTGCACAAGTTTTGACGTCTAATTATTCGATCGTTGTTTCAGACTCTCAGAATTGCGAGCTCCACGTATTCAGAACTCCTCTCTTTGCGATCCGAGCTGCACTGTGAGCTCCAATGTCTGGCTTTCGCTATTGCATTTCTCGCACTTTATCACAGATTGAGTACTGAGTACTTACTTTCGCATTGTAGTCTTACCTCTGTAGTTCAAAATCACTAAAGCTTCTATGTAGCAGAATGATCGAATAGGTGTCACGCAT